TCATATATGTTTTCTCATTTCCTACATGGAGTACATAGAAAATTATTTAAACAATTCCTCTAAAATGAATTATCCATAAAATATTAGTACTATAGTCCATGGGGACACAAAGAGTTCAACATGACTTAATGACTGAACAACAACAATCCTATTCTCTTATTTCCGAAGATGGAAAGAATTCATAGGCACTTTTCTTTTTCCCCATGCAGAAGTGAAATCTGTGGCAATTCATGACCACACAGTGAATGTCAGAAATGATCAAGGAGAAACTAACACTTTTTTGACAACAAAAGCAACAAAAACAAAAGTAAATTTTTCACAGGAAGGATCAATACTAAGAAAGAGCAACTAGTATTCTGGAAAGAAGGCTTCCCTTGTGGCTCAAGACAGTAAAGAATCTGCCTGCAATGCAGGAGACCTGGGTTCAATCCCTGGATTGGGAAGATTCCCTGGAGGAGGCTATGGCAACCCATTTCAGTATTCTTGCCTAGAGAATCCCATGGACAGAGGACCTTGGTGGGCTACAGTCCATGGGGTTGCAAAGAGTCAGACATGACTGAGCGAAGAGATTTAGAGTTAAGATACATGATTCCTTGATCATGCTGAGTCACGAAAGTGTAAGCTACTAGGGGCAGAGTCTTTCATCTTTCACCATCCATAGCAATAGGCACAGAGTCTTATACATGATATGGTCTCTCTCAATGGCTGCTAAATTGAATGGGAGGCTTACAGCAACCACAGCCAAAAAAATACAGGATGAAATATAACAACAACATTTTATTTACCCTCATCATATGCCTAAGATTTTTTTCTAAAAAATTTTTGTGCAATTTTTATGCTACAATTGATGAAATATTATATATAAGACAGGGACATCAAATATTGTGGAGGTAGTTGACATCAGCTCGCTAGAATAGCCCACCCTTAAAGCACTCACACAGGGACCAATAAATGGCAGTACTCCAATAGAACTGCATGAAAATGTTCTTTTCCTTTGCTTTGGAAAAAAGACAAGAGAAGGGCATTATTACCAAAGAGAGAAATGAGAGATTGGAGATTACAAATTGACACTTGGTCAGTCCTCATTTAAAGGGAAAAGACAGCATTTCATCTGCTCCTCTCATGAAACTCAGGGGCCTTGAATCATGTGAGATGAGATGGTTACTCTAAATCATGGAGCAGTCTGTGCCAGCGGTTTACAACAGTACTTTATTTTATTTTGCTAACCCACCCCTTAAGTGTCTTAATGCTTTTGGCAGGGTATGAAAGGGGCCTTGAAAGGTTTCTGAACTCATCAAACCCATCTGGAAGATCAGAGCCGGAGAGAGAGAGAAACACTCATACCTGACCCATGGGAGCTTCCCTAGTTGATCAAAGGGGCCAGTGATATCACAGACAGGACCTGAGGGGAAGTAGCTCCTGGTGATTTACTGTGCCTTAGAGTCAAGGCAGCAAGACAACTGTCTGAAAGCTGCATCAGTAAGCCAGGAAAATTCAAAGGAGAAATCCACAACACAAGGTACCCAGACAGAGCACAGACCTCTCAGCCATCAACAGCTCTGTCTGATAACAGCCTCAGATAAATATATAATACATGCATGTGTATATGTATATATACGTTTGCGTGTACATGCATTCATACATATATCTGTATACACGTACACATATATCTACACAAATGTATATATACATATACACATGTATGTATTCCATTAGTGGAATACTTGATAGGTGGGAATGGCCTCTCTCTTGGCAGATTCATGGGATCTATGGCTGGGAAGTACCTGTTACAGAGGAGGGAGCCAAGAATGGGTGATTCCTTTCCCATAAATCTTTGCTGAAACATCTATTGGAGCAAGAAATATACATATATATGTAAAAACATATGTATATATCTAAATGGACATCTACACATACACGAATATGTACAGCTCTAGATACCATGAATCTGCTGAGAGAGAGACAGACAGACAGAGACAGAGAGAGATAGAGGGAGAGGCTATTCCAACGCACCAAGCCTTTCACTAATGGCCATTCTGCAGATACAAGGAAGATGTAGTTGGAGGATAGTAATTTTTGAATTTGATTATTTCTTCCAAAGGAACTTGAGACTTTCAAACAGATCAGTCTATAAATCACCAGACTGTGCCCAACACACTGAAAGGAAACGGGGTTCTGTTGCCTGGCAACTTTAATTTTACTCCCCTCCCCACTAACAACTCCTAAGGGGTGTGTGTCCCATCAGTACGGCTGATAGAACTATTAGGACAAAAAGATTCTGCATGTGTAGACTGCTGAATTGAGACTATCAACTGAACCTATTACATATTTAACAGCCTTGCAGAATATTTGGGGAAGAATCAATGTTTTAGACCATAAAAGTTAAGTATAAAAAAAGTAAAAGGATGGTACTGCTTAATTGAAAGTGAAAATATAGGCTAAAATAACTTATTCATTAATTCCTGATATTGCAAAACTAGGGGACATCCCTAAATTAAAAAAAAATCTTTTGGGATAAAAAGGAAAGTTTTTATTTACTAACAGAATTTGACTAGGTAATAAATCATAAAAAACCAGGGTTAAGTAAATTGATGGATAGGATGTCCAAAATGGATGAATAAGTGAAAGTAATATGGTTAGAGGTTAACTTATCCTTTTAACACTATTACAAATTATCCCTTGATTTCACTATGAAAGAAAAATGGTAATTATATGGATTAGGTATATGATCCCACATGGAAATTTTTTCCTCCTTAACAAATAGACTAACCTTTATTCCCACTCTTAATAAAACTTATTGGTTCTTCCTTGAATGGAGTGCAATCCAGTGACACTTTGGGTTACAATATTTCTGCATGAGGAATAATCCTATATATGTCAGTGTAATTTCATAGATATGGTTCAGACTTTTGTTATGGAAAATAACCACAGTCACGTCACACCTTCATTCTGCGCCAAATCTATGACAGTGCTGTCTCAAAAATGTGTTGACGTAACAGGAAACAAAATATCAGAAAAATTCAGTATGTTAAGACAATTTATTTCAACTAATGAAATAAAACTGATTTGATGCAAAAGTCCAGCCTGTTTTCAAGGATGAGATATATTTACATGTTTCTAAAACTGTTATTTTAATTAGCAATACATTATATAAGATCTCATGTTCTTCACATTTTTAAAACTTACACTCCCATGAAGAGTTTAAATGACTTGAATGTAGGGATTACTTTGTATTTCCTATCTGAGAAACACTTCAACAATTATTTATACATATTTCTTTTTTGGAGTGCATAATTATTTATGTATACAGTATTGAAATCTTTCAAAGACTTTATCAACAACCTACTTTTTAATATAACATGTGTTTTGAGTAGAGATGGTATAGCATTGGTTCTCAAATATTAGTATGGATCAGAAATCACCTGGAAGTCTTATTAAAAGATTGCAGGGCAAGTGCAATAGATCTGCAGAGGGGCCTGAGTATTTGCATTGATAACAAATTTCCAGGTGATACTGATGCTGCTGGTACAGGGATCTCACTTTGAAAGGACCCCTATAAATAGAAATCAAGTTGTCTGTAAAAATTCTGGGAATTACTTCCAAATTACAAGTAACTGTGAGAGAATTATCCAGAAACATCCAAGTTATAATAAACTTTTCCCATTACTTACTAATGCAAGATAGTTTTGTTTATATTATTAACCTTCCAAGTAATTTACAAATCTGAAATTCATAAGTATGCTGACTGCCAAAGAATCCCTCTGTATTTAATTTCATTTTGGCATTAAAAATATTTTATGTGAAATAAAACATAAAAACAGCAGTAAAATTTTCTAATGATACATACATGGATGTGCTTATGCCACTGTAATATTCTGAAGTAAAATCACTGTGTTATAAAGAGACCTAAATACTCTGCTACCTAAGCTATTTCAAACTAAGTATCAGAATACAGATCAGGGAACAAATTGCCAGCAGATAGATGACAGGCAGAGTTTAATTACAGCTTTTGGTAATGATATTTCTTACTTTATTAAAACCTAGTTTCTTATTGTGACTATCTAAGTAGCTCAACTTATTTATGTATAGTACTTACGGAAGATCTCCAAATACATTTTTGAATCTGTGATTTTGGATTGCTCAAATATGTGCTTAATTTTGTGGGAAAAATAAAAGATGGCAGTACTGAACCATGGCCCAAAAGAAAACAAAAAACAAAATGTAAAATGTTATTTCTATAGGCTTACACCCCAACATGTTCACATAAATATTGCAATAAGTGTTTTCAATAAGTTGTGCCTTAATTTATATCACTTTTAATTACTTGCAAAATTTATGTTCTGATTTATATATATAGGAATATATAGAAACATACACACACACAGATTCTGATTCTGGGAAAGATAGAAGGCAGGAGGAGAAGGGGACAACAGAGGATGAGATGGTTGAATGGCATCACTGACTCAATGGACATGAGTTTGAGCAAGCTCCAAGAGATGGTGAAGGACAGAGAAGCCTGGCATCCTGCAGTCCATGGGGTCGCAAAGAGTCAAACACAATTAAGCAACTGAAAACCAATACACACACATATATATGCTAGAGATATATCTGATGTAGACTACAAATTAGAAACCTACATCTTTAATAAGTCTTCTATGTAGTTAAGAATTCTACAAAATTCCTGTTGGATTCAATTGAGATTTCTAATTATGAATTCCTTATTTTTCACTTCTGGCACTTTCCAAGGACACTGAAATTAATGTCCTAGTATGAGCAGCAGGACACACTTGACTGCAATCAGAACAACGAGGCAGGTGTCTGCGAGGCCACCTTGGCAATCAGTCTCTTTGGCGCAAACAATTTCAAAATCACTCTCACATTCCCACCCCATGCTTTTTTCTTCCGTTGACCTTTATGTCTGTCCTCTCCCAGAGAATTATTAATCAAGAAATCATTATTGTTGTGTTTTTTTCTTTTTTTTTGGTAACTTGCATACTTACAATCAGGAGGCATCTTTTCCATAAATATTGTGCAATACTCTTTAAGGAGTTCAAAATTTTCCTGATTAATACTTTCTTGCAAAGAGACATCTCCAAACCTAAATATAGAAAAAAGAGAATAGTTATGATTTATAAAAAAGGACCCAAAAGTAACTTTTTTTATCTTTCTTTTTTAAATAGATGGTAATAGTTTAGAAGGGAGGAGTCTGTTTTTTGAAACAACATAGAATAATGGTGAAATATAACATATTCCAGTTTCCACTGGCCCTGATTCCACCAATCTTTTTTGACATACCAAAGTATTCTTACAATCATCAAATGTGAACCTGAATGAAATAAATCTAAAACACTAACCCCATGCCTCTGCATAGCTGATACTCTGTCCAAGTTAGTTTCTCCCATCTCTGCAGGGCTGTATCTCTAAAGACACAAAAACTCTCCCCTCTCTTTTGATCCCTCCAATCTTCCTCCTCACCAGTGATAGCTTGAGGAGCGGTCCAGAAGACCAGGACCAGATACTGAGCTGCAAATAGCCTTAAACACACTGCTGCAGGCACATGGAGAGCCCTCCACTCTCCCAGCGACTAGCTCACTTCTGTGAACTGTATTTTTCTGTCCACACCATGAAGGATGCCAGCCTCTGTACTGGTGCTCTTCTGCTGTCTTCTATAAATGTAGTGGTTTTTTAGTTTAGTTAAAAAAACAACAGTAAAGGATTAAAACATTCTTATCAAATCATGGCAAAGAACACACTAGCTAACGATGTGGGTAGGAGATGTATAGAGAGTAAATTATAGATAAGGAAGCATTTTAAATACTCTCCAAAAGTTTAGCTTTGGGGAGCTTCCTCAGCCAGGCTTTACAGCAAGACAGTAACTTCTTTCTGTAAGAAGTTTTAGAGAATCTTTTAAAAATGTATTTTGTGAACCTTAACTCTTATCTGTTTTTGATAATCTCTACATGTGAACCGCCGAAAAATTGATGTTTTTGAACTGTGGTGTTGGAGAAGACTCTTGAGAGTCCCTTGGACTGCAAGGAGATCCAACCAGTCCATCCGAAAGGAGGTCAGTCCTGGGTGTTCATTGGAAGGATTGATGCTGAAGCTGAAACTCCAATACTTTGGCCACCTCATGCGAAGAGTTGACTCGTTGGAAAAGACCCTGATGCTGGGAGGGATTGGGGGCAGGAGGAGAAGGGGACGACAGAGGATGAGATGGCTGAATGGCCTCACCGACTCAATGGGCCTCACCGACTCAATGGGCATGAGTTTGAGTAAACTCTGGGAGTTGGTGATAGACAGGGAGGCCTGGTGTGCTGCGATTCATGGGGTTGCAAAGAGTCAGACACAATTGAGTGACTGAACTGAACTGAACTGACATGTGAACCATCTAAGATGCTAAAGTAATTCCTTTATCTGCTAAAAAATGGTTTCTTACAATTACTTATGAAATCACAGAAAATCACCTATCATTTAACTGAGTAAACTAATATGAAAGGATGTGTTCATATAAGGATATAAAGGATATGTGTTCAGATAAAGAATCCTCCAATAACAATTATTTTAGTAAATAAAGGAAAGGATAACATGTTTTAGGTCCAGAAAATGTTGACAAAATTAGCAGAGTTTACAATGCTGAAATACATGTGAGCATAAAACAATTCTAAAATTTGATACACACACATAGGTATTTGGAAACATGAAGAAAGCTAACCCATGCGAATATTCTGGTATTGACACCAATATTTTCCTTATTATTTTGCAACATTTAAACTTGGTATGAGCCAGGAATCCTTAAACATGAATAATTCTGTCTGCTATATCAAGTAACTTAGTTTGGAAGAAAGGAAAATGTTACCCATGAATCCAGTGTCTATGCATAGGTACATGTGGAATTACTCAGCATATTCATAACAATTAAAAAAAAAGACTGGTCTTATATCTGAACCTTACCTCTCCGCAAGAGTTTGCTGTTCATTAATTCCAACGTTAAAAAGTACTGGATACACATGAAGCAATTGTCCTTCTTTAATCTGCAGAGGCAGCGACTCAAACATTCTCGCTGGAACCTTCACCTCCACAACATAATGTTCACTGGAGACAGAGGAGGACAGAGAAGCAGCGTTGCTTTATTTCATTCAATTTTATTTCTTTAGATTCATTGTAAAGAAACAACAAAACAGCTGGAACATAGCACTGACTCAGGTTTTTGGTTGTTATTTGCTTATTTTCTATTATTAATTCATTTGATAATCATTTCATTCATTTCACTATTAAATTACTTGGCATAAAGAATTGTTTACATTTACTTCTATTACTCTGAGTTGTTTTAGGAAAGGAAGAACATTTAGTGCATGTTCATATACCATGTACATAAGAGCTTCAGTATTTGTTTTCTTGATTTTAATTATTTTCAGACCAAGTCTCAATGATAAGAAAAGCAATTAAATGATGGATTTTCAATATAGTGAAACTAATGAACGAAATCATTTATAACATTTTTAGCATCCTAATTGTTATTATTGATGAACCTCCTGTTTGTAATGGCCTGATGGAAATGCAATAGTTTTATTATTCAAGATGTAACCTTAATGGTTCCTGATCATTTCTCCACATTATCATGGGAACATTTTTTTCATTGGAAATTTCCATTAAAAATTACTCTTAATGTTTAGTGTTGAAGATTTAAATTGGGATTCACAAAATAAGGTCAAGAAGAATAACTGCTTATGTATTCTGAAACGTATCTTTTGATCTAGTATGAACTGAGAAAAGAAATGTCAAGCTTCACCTGGAATTAAGGAAAGTCCATGTGTTTCCTGAACTATATAGCGTGCTAGTGTTGTAATACGTATATGGTGTAAGGAAGAACAGGACAATGAGCGGGTCTCTGTGAAAATCTTTTCAGTTTCTCTAGTATAATAACACTGATGCTTACTCTGAATCTTCGACTGCCAGACTTTTTCACGTCAGCTTTGAACGAGAGAACTGGGAAATACCATCCATCCAGTAAGCAGGGATGTTAGCACCACCCTCAGATGAATGGACACTTCATTTTTCTTTTAAAAATTGCTTTCAGTGTCCTTTACAATAGACTACTAGGTGGCTGATATTTACTTATTTCAAAATTTTCTGGAATATGAGAAGATTCAGTGGGTGAAGTCTGCTCTGCATTTAAAGATTGCTCTGAAGGTGAAACATTATACACTTCATGATAGTTTTTTAAAAAACTGAAGTATAGTTGATTTACAATGTTGTTTTAGTTTCAGATGTATAGCAAAGTGATACAGTTATACACACACACCTTTTCAGATTCTTTTCCATTATAGGTTATTATAAAATATTGAATATAGTTCACTGTACTATTAAGTAGGTCCTTGTTTATTTTAAACATAGTAGTGTGTAACTGCTGATCCCACACTCCTAATTTATCCCCCAATTCTCCTTTGGTGTGGTAGCCATTCCCTTCCCCAGGGGATCTTCCCAACCCAGGGACCAAACCTGGGTCTCCTGCGTTTCAGGCAGATTATTTATCATTTGAGTCACCAGGGAAACCCCAAGAATACTGGAGTGGGAAGCCACTTGCCCTGGTGGCTCACATGGTAAAGAATCTGCCTGAAATTCAGGAGACACAGCTTCAGTTCCTGTGTCGGAAAGATCGCCTAGAGAAGAGAATGGCTACCCACTCCAGTACTCTTGCCTAGAGAACTCCATGGACAGAGGAGCCTGGTGGGCTACAGTCCACGGGGTCACAAAGAGCCGGACATGACTGAGCTACTAGCACTTTCACTTCCCCTTTAGTAACCATGTCTGTTTTCTATTTATGTTTTTAAAATAAGTACCTTTGTATTATTTTTTTGATCCTGCATATAGTGACATCATATGATACTTGTCTCTGTATGACTTGTTTCACTTAGTATGATAACCTCTAGTGTATCTATGCTGCTGCTGCTGCTAAGTCGCTTCAGTCGTGTCTGACCCTGTGAGACCCCATAGATGGCAGCCAACCAGGCTCCCCCGTCCCTGGGATTCTCCAGGCAAGAACACTGGAGTGGGTTGCCATTTCCTTCTCCCATGCATGATAATGAAAAGTGAAAGTGAAGTCGCTCACTCGTGTCCGACTCTTCGTGACCCCGTGGACTGCAGCCCACCAGGCTCCTCCACCCATGGGGTTTTCCAGGCAAGAACACTGGAGTGGGGTGCCATTGCCTTCTCCGTATGCTGCTGCAAATGGCATTATTTCATTCTTTTTTATGGCTGAGTCATATTCCATTTTGTACATATGTGTGTATATACGTATATACATACACACCTCAATCTTCTTTATCCATTCATCTGTCAGTGGGCATGTAATTTGCTTCCATGTCTTGGTTATTCTAAATAGTGCTGCTATGAACATTGGGGGTGTATGAATCTTTTTGAATTATAGTTTTTGTTTTTCCCAGGAGTGGGATTGTTGGATCATATGATAACTTTTAGTTTTTAAGAAACCTTCATACTATTTTCCAATTAACATTCCCACCAACAGTGTAGGAGGGTTCCCATTTCACCACAAACCTCTCCAGTGTTTACTATTTTTAGTTTTTGATGATGGCCATTCTGACTGCTGTGAGGTAATACCTCTTGGTAGTTTTGATTTGCATTTCTCTAATAATTAGCAATTATGGTGAAGGACAGGGAAGCCTGGCATGCTGCAGGCCATGGGGTCACAAAGAGTTGGACACAACTGAGCGACTAAACCACAAAATAATTAGCAATGTTGAACATCTTTTCATGTGCCTGTTGGCCATGTGTCTTCTTTGGAGAAATGTCTGTTTAGGTCTATTGCACATTTTTTTGGATCAGATTGTTTGTGTTTTATATTGAGCTGTATAAGCTGTTTGTATATTTTGGAAATTAATCCCCTGTCAGTTGAATCATTTTCTCCCATCCCATAGGTAGTCTTTTTGTTTTTGTTTATGGTTTCCTTTGCTGAGTAAAGACTTTTGAGTTTAATTAGGTCCCATTTGTTTATTTTTGCTTTTACTTCCATTGCACTCAGAGACAGATCCAAAAAAACATTGCTGCGATTTATGTAGGAGTGTTCTGCCGATGTTTTGTCACTCCATTAAAATATAATTGACATAAGCTCATTGTTTTAAGTATATGATTCAGAGTTTTAGCAAATTTATAGAGTTGTGCAATCATGACCATAATTCACTTTCAGAACATTTCCACTGCCTTAAAAAAAATCCTTTGTTTGCATTCAAACCCCAACTCCATAGTCAGCCCCAGCAAACAACTGATCTATTTCTATGTCTCTGCATTTTACTTCTCTACATATTTCATATAAAGAGAATCATGCAAGGTATAGTCTTTTGGGTCTGGCTTGCCTCATTCAGCATCACTGTCAGGTCACGTGTGTCAGAGCATGCTGGACAGTGTTCTGTTGTTTAGATATACCACATTTTATCTGTGCATTCAAGTTGCTGAACACTTCATTACTTCATGATTTTGGCTACCTGTGTTCTGAAAAACGCTACTAGTTTTGTGTGGACATTTCCTCTTGGGTATATACCGATGAGTCATGTAGCAATTTTAGGTTCACTCTTTAAGCAACTGCCAAATTGTTTCCAAAGTGACAAAACCACCAATCATGAATGAGGATTCCAGATCCGTGAATATGGACTGTCTTTTCATTTATTGGATCTTATTAATTTCTCCAAGCATTATTTTGTGTGTTCTGTTTCCAATTCTTCATGAAAATTGCTCAGTCTTGTCTGACTTTGCAACCCCATGGACTATACAGTCCATGCACTTCTCCAGGCTAGAATACTGGAGTGGGGTAGCCTTTCCCTTCTCCAGGGGATCTTCCCAACCCAGAGATCAAACCCAGGTCTCCTGCATTGCAGGCAGATTCTTTACCAGCTGAGCCACAAGAGAAGCCCAAGAATACTGGAGTGGGTAGCCTATCCCTTCTCCAGGGGATCTTCCCGACCCAGGAATCTGGGGTCTCCTGCATTGCAGGCGGATTCTTTACCAACTAAGCTATCAGGTGTGGTGTGTGTGCTCAGTCGTGTCTGACTCCCCGAAATCCCACAGACCACAACCCACCAGGCTCCCCTGTCCATGGATTTTTCCAGGCAAGAATACTGGAGTGGGTTGCCATTTCTTAGAGTGCTTTATTAAATTTAGTCTGATGTAGTTATTCTATTTGATGCTATCGTGAATGGTTATCTAGTCACCACTGTTTCTAACAACTTTTCAAGAGTGCACTTTATTCTTTTTCTTCTCTGGTCCAAACCAAGTCAGCCCCCTCTGGCAGGAGGCTGCCGGATTTTATGGCCTGCTTTACCCTCATAAAACTGTGCTGACAGAGTTGAGGAAGATGGGAGCAACTCGGCAAAAACGCCACACACTCCTACTGACTTATCCAATGTACACCAGCTTTTCACGAATAAGTACTTCTAAATTTGCGCACAAATTTAGTCCTTAGTTGTAAGATGGTTGCTTTAGAAAATTCTGTCCAATTATAATGTCGCTTTCTGGAGAAAAATTTTGCCAAGCTGCTCACTTTGCCATTCCAGTTTCATTCTCATCCATATGATAGCTTTTGAATTTAGATACAGTCTAAACTCCCTCAGTTCTTTAAACTCCCTCAGAAAAAAAATCTGCACTCTTCCTATAGCAAATGATCTGGTAAGCTTCCATTATAAATTGTGATAAAAGTATCAGTTTCTCACTTTTGATAATAATCTTCATAGTAATACAAGGTGGCATTGTTTTCTAGGCATGTGTATGAGCAATTTTATTCCTTTTTCTTCCAATGAATGGCAAATTAAGCATTAGGCTGCAGTTGAGATATTTAGTTTTAAAGGGATGTGTTTTTTCTTTATATATAAGAAACAGTTACCTTTCAATCAACCATGGATTTCTAGGCATTCTTTACACAAAATTTTAAATAATTTTATGTTTATTATAGAAAGAAAACAAGTTTAGTTTGAATTTTTATATTTTATACCTAAGTCTCTTCATCTCTCTCTGGCACAAAAAGGGCTCTCTTTAGAAAATTCATTTTTTTTAAAAAACTCTGATCTGAGAAAGCTTCAAATTTCAAATATCTTCATGCAGCATTTAAAAGTGCTAATGCCAGAATGGTTAAAATTTCCAGGACTTCTGACTGAAATAATTTATCCATAGGATGTAATTCTTCTATTGGAGGTCTATTCTACACACCATCATTTTTCTTAATTATTTGATATTTTGCCCATCATACAATGACCTTCAAAGCTATTTATTTAAAACTGTTCTTGGAAATCTCAGTCTGACAGTGAATTGTCAAAAATAATTAAGAAAAATGGTGGCATATGCCCCTGACATAGGAATACATCTTTTCTAAAATGCTGCTGCTTTTAACAGAATTTAATACCAAATCATCTCAAGAATTATGACACTATTAACTAAATGATTCCAGCAAAAATAAAAACATCCAGAGCTTCAGACTAGATAGTAATAAAAAGAAAAATGTTTTTCTCATGCTTGCTATTACTTTGAATTCCTCACATTTCACGGGGGAGCATTATCCTATTTATTTCACTGTAGTGCAATTTACAAACATCCATGAGACTTCTAAGAGTCTTTCAGTATCTTCCTCTGTCATGTCACCTACATTTATTTCTCATTCAAAGAAGGAAAAGAGAACAAAAGAAACATTTCCAAGCCAAATCTCAATTCTCCTTGGCTCTGTTGTCAGGGGTTAGTAAGAAACATCTAACAAAGCTTGGTCTTTAGGAAATGGGCACCACTTACCGCCTTCCTGTTATAACTGGCAAGACATCATTGGATGTGGCTTCGATTATTTTAAATGCGACTTTTTTCAAATCCGAAATACCAACGGCCATGTCCTCGAGCATTCCAATTTCCTCACCTAAGCAAGGGCAAAGGAACCTAGTTACAAACATACTGTTTGAAGAGAATGTCTCTTTGTATTCCGCCTTCCTGCTAGAATTTGTTCTAACAATTTAGTGAATGAGTTCCTGAATGCAGTGAATCCATTCTAAGGACATTTGCCTCAGTCTGAAGGTTTTCAACAGTGAAATCAGAACTGTTTCAATAGACTCCAGCTGTCCATAGGCCCTTTGAAGGAAGGAAGGAGGTATACCTTTGCTGGAAGGCTAGAGAGAAGCTTTAATTCTTTGATGACACAAAGTATCGTGCAAATCTTTCTCCCTTGGCAGGACTGACATTTGATTTCTAGAAAATAGAGGTGGTTGCACTGAAGATCACTGACCTAAGCTCATGCTAGTTTTATATTTAATACACTGAAAAAATAAAGCCTAACGAGGAGGCAATTAAATAAGAATCTGTCCTGTGCAAAAGAAATATAATGTGAGCCACATACATAATTTTAAATATCCTAGAAGTCAGATTTTTAGAGTAAAATTTTAAAGGTGAAATTAGCTTTAATACTGTTTTCCTTTAGCCCAATAGATCCCAAACAGCATTGCAGCTGTAAATCAATATACAATGATTAATTATTCATTAATTATTAATATAAAACTGTTTCCTACTAGTCTTTGAAATCTGGTGGGCATGTTGAGGATTTATTGATCTGGACTAGATATGTTTCAAGGGCTCAAATGCCACACCAACCTATGTATTGAACAGGGCAGTTCCAGACATTAGAGACTTGGGACTTTAAAAATCCAGTCATTGAAACTAGGTTAGCAAAAGCTTTTTATATTTAAAAAGCCAGATGGCTGCCCAGGACTCCACTGTGAAGTAATCTATAATTCCATTTTCAAAACATAATGAGGGTAAAAGCACAGTGACAAGGAGAATGAATATAAAGAATTGAAAGTTATATTCTTTCTCTAATGCTTGATGCAAGAAAGGTTGACCTCTTATTTTTATGTTTAACTGAAGAATCTATGGATCACATAGCTTTATGAATAGGGATATTATTTTAACATGGACTAAAGCAATACTCACTATATGTACTCAGCAGTCCTTCATATTGTACTATCAATCCCACTGTGTGAAGCTGCTCAAGGAAGCCAGGGTCATACAGACTTGTGTGCAATTTGATGATAAAACCACAAACCAATCCAGTAAGCTAAAACAAGAGAAAAAGAAAAGAAAAACACTGAAGAAATTCCTGGGGTCAGTGAGCTTTAATTTAAAAAAATATTTAAGACTTTGAGACATCACAGACTTAATTAGAAATTTCCAAGCATGTGTAACAAAATTGTAACTTTCATATGTCCATTTTGAAACCATGGATGTATAAACCCAGGCTCTCCAACGGTTTGAGAAAGGCAGCTCTGTGAAAGGGGAAAGACCAGGCAGTAAAATCATAAAAAGTCACTTAACACTTTCAAAACATTCTCAAATATTTTTGCACGCAAAGAATAGAGATAATAGTTCTCATTCCACAGAGTTGTAGTGGAGAGATCTGTAAAAGGCAGAGCAAAGTGCCTGACACTTTGCTCCATTTACTACTGGGTCATCCATGAAATGGTAGGGGACAAGGGATATTTTGGTTAAATTATTCCCTTTATCTGAATGGTTTACAAAGACAAGTTTCCATCTCTTTCCCTCCAGGTGTGTGTCTATAAAACTCAGTCATGGCGGAGCAGGCAGGAGGGGTGTGGGAGCACAGCTATTGTGACGGAGGCCAACCTCGTTGCCATGGGCTAGGGTTGGGTGTCGGCAAAGGAGGTGATAGTGCCATCCTTCCATCCAAGACAATGGCCTGGCAAACTTCTATGTAAATGACAAAAACAAACAATAACAACAACAACAAACAGACTATTATAAGGCCCTGTCCAGAATTCACGAGGGAGCTGTAGAAATAAGGGGTTGCAAACAGATCCCTTTTGCCAGTCCTGGCTGCTATCTGCATGGGGCATGGTGCAGACACCCCAGGAATAATATGAGGACAGGACAAGGGACTCTTTCCCTCAAAGACTCTGTGCCCTATGAAACAACGGACATTTCAGAGACATGGCCACCTTTTTGCAGAAATAAATATTTAAGGTCTCACACACTGTTTCTATTCAGCTAGGTATCTGTTATGAATAAGAAAAGCCGGGTATCAATACCTTAAGAAAAGGATCCCCTTAAAGAGCAAACTACTGGACTTTCCTGGTGGTCCAGTGATTAAGACTCCAAGCTTCTAATGCAGGGGGCATGGGTTCGATCCCTGGTCAGGGAACCAGGATCCCACAGGCCAGGCGGTACGGCCAAAAAAATAAAACTCAAAGCAGACTATCGTAAGAAGATCTCTTTCCTCACTGAGGATGCTATTTGACAGCCCATCAGTGTGCTGGGCTCACAAAAACAAGAGGCACCTACCGCTTGGCTGAAGACGATGTCTCTTCTCAACGTCAGCATCAAACACTGGGGCAGGCTGTAGGCGAGCTCCTGGAGGAGCACGAACGTCAGGGACCGCTTAGCTCGGTTCACCACTTCTCCCATGCCGTCCTTCAGGCTGAGGATGAGGGGGTACAGCTGCTCATACCAGTCCTCTGTGGGCGGGCGGGGTGTAAGAGCAGTGGGATCGGTGGATGAAGACTAAGTTACTTGCTTTCAGAGATGTTCTACACATTACTTAGAAGTTACAAAGATAAGAGATTTCCGAGCCCAACCTCTCCTCTGAACTCCTGATGTCTATAACCAGCCACCCACTGGATCTCTCCACTTGGATGTATCTCGTTCATAGAAGAACTCCTCTCCTCTCTGCTCATCTCTAATCTGTGTATTGCCTGGATCTTGGTGGATGGTGCCACCAAACTCTTCCCCTGCTGGAAACATGTTTTCCTGGACTCCTTCTATAGTCTTCACATATATTGGGTCATGAAATTAGTTCTACCACCATAACAGGGCTTTCCTGTGGCTCAGATGGTAAAGAATCTGCCTGCAATGCAGGAGACCCAGGTCCTATCTCTGGGTCAAGAAGTTCCCCCAGAGAAGGGAATGGCTACCGCCTCCAGGATTCTTGCCTGGAGAATTCCATGGACAGAGGAGCCTGGTGAACTACAGTCTAGGAGCTTCAAAGACCCATCAAAACACTCATCTTCCTTTTGCCCTCTCCCATTATCAGTTACCCATTTCCCACGGACCACTTCCTATCCTGCTCCATAAGTGACCCCTCGTCCTCCAGGCATATCCTTCTCCAATCTTTTCTCAACAGAGTTGCTACAGGGACCTTTCTGATCAGTTTGAATTCCACCACTCACTCTTTCATTTCCTTACTATTTTAAAGACACCAAAGCATTCAGAACGAAGTCCCAAAGCATGACAGACCCTGCCTTATCTGATCTCGGCCTGTGTCCAGTCTCATCTCTCAGAACTTTTTCATTTGTAGCCTTGAGTCCCAGGGGAGCTGAACAGACACATTTCCCCACATCTGTTCTGCTCTCTCATCTCAGTGTCTCTGCAAATCCTATCTGCAATCCTGGAGCATTCTTCCTGTGCTGATCTTCCTGACAAATACTTTATCTTCTCTGAAGACTCAATTCAGGGTTTCTCTCTTCCAGGAAGTCTTCTTGATTTCTCCCCTAAATCCCCTCCTCATTTACTAAAATTTGGATCAGGTTCGCTTTCTTTGTGTTCACAGCTCCTTGCCTATACTCTTTTGCAAGATAGTAAACTCACTGAGGGCAAGAAATTTGTTTTAATCACTGGATCTCCAGATTGCAGCATATCAAATATTCAATTTTTAATTAAATGAGTAAAGTTGGAATAAATGGAACAAAAGTCTTTTAACATATAGGCATGAATGAGAAAATCAAGTTTTTGACAGTATTTGGAATCTGAATAGCTTTTCTTCAAGTCAGGATACAAAACTGAAACCATCTGTGCTTTCTGTATGCCTAGAAATTTAACATGTTTCAGTTATATAATTATGACTTTGGCATGTGATATAGAAACAAGTTATATTCTATTTCAGTCTATTTGAAAATCAAACCTTGACAAATGTCAAATACTATAAATTCCAGACTGTGTGCTATTCCATTAATATATAAATTGACAGTGGTATGACAAATACAAATACGATTGAAAAGAAATGAGTGCATGCTGAAAAGTTAACTATGAATCAAGATCTGAAGTGATACAATCTTCTCAGTTTACAGAGTGAGTAATGTGAATGGTCAATAACCAGTTAAGACCTTGAAAGAGTTATAGGTAGTGATGAAAAGAATCATAATCACTATCGCACCCTATCTACTGTCACTAACTTGTTTTATGTTCTATAATAGATTAGATGAAATAAACCAAAATGGTTGAAAGGATAATTAATGGTCCCAACTTAATACAAAGAGGTGCTCTTGTTAATACTCTATGTAAATGCTTATGTGAAGTTGTAATAAAAAATACATTAGGAACATTAGGAGTTATTATTTTAAAATATTGTAGAATTAAGTGTTATGACAGGAATAAAAAACACTAGAGAAAAAAGAATTCAATGAAGGCCTGTTAAATCTGTAATCATTTAATAAAGGACTCATTTGTGGGCAGCTTAGGATAAAATATGAACAGTGTGGTTCAGTTGAAATAGGCATCAGGTAACTATTGATTTTTATGTCATTAGTAGACATAAAAGGGCAGATGGAGGTACATTAGACTTATTTTCAGAGTAAAAGACACATCAAGAGACATCAAGAAGGAATACTTGATATTCATATTGTTTTCATAGTTATATTGTCTTACCTTTCACTCTGCTATTTGATTATTGTTCTCAATATGAACAGACAAATACATGTGGAAAACAAATATCTCAATAAATCGACCCAGATGTATATCTTAAAAGAGAACAGACTGAAAACCAATTTTGCTTTGTGTTTAGGTCTGCAAAAATGAATTTCTACTGAAGAATTCTCCAACGTAAAATAAAGCCTGTGTGCAGTAGATGGCGCTGCTTTATCAGCCTGAAGTAAAACTATGTGGTCACTTACTCCATTCTGTAACTGATTTATACTCTTTTACACATTTGCAAAGTTCCCAAATAGCAGGTATATGTTGTCCAGGCACCTTGCATCCTATTCTGTGTCAAGTGATCAATAACCTCGCCAAAAGTGTGATAAGCTCTTTCTATCAGAAAGTGGAAAATTAACTTATTTTTCTTCCCCCCTTGGAAGATGCTAGCTCAAATTAAACAGAGCTCATGGCTTTTCTTAAATATCTTTAAAAGGAGAATCTTCACAGATTTCTTCATCAGCATAATTTCGTCACTTCTAAACCTATCTTCACTCTAATTTAACCATTTGATTCCTAATCAGAAATGCAATAAGATTAAAAAAGAAAGAGATCACCTGATCTAGCCCTATTGGAATAAAACCGAGGACCTGGAAAAATAAATAAACATACTGAAATTCTACGTCTAGAAGTGCTCTTAGGTATTTGACACTAACCACTTTCCAGTGTCTTTGCTTACTCTAATTATATATACTTCTTATGACTAAAATTTAAGGAAAAGGACAATATAAGGAAACAATGATGAATAAGAAAATGACAAGTTGGTGAGCAAGGTAGAATGTCTTAAAGATAGCAGTAAGCTTCCTATAAAGAAGTATGAGAAAGCTAAAAGTACTTTTTTTTTTCTAGAAAAGAAGCAATTTAAGTTTAGCAGATAAAGGTAAACCTCACTGGCAAATGCAAATTGCCATGACTTCAGGTTTTGTTCCCTGTTAATATTCACTCAGTGTAAATCTCAGGTTCTGAAATAAACACAATGGTGTGTGACAGGGCAGAGACAGGCTGAAGGAGTCAGTTCATAAAGGGCCTTTTTGCTTCAACGAGCATTCCAAATCACTCTGAGAAAGGCACAGCAAATGCTTGTGTTTTTCTTGAAAAATATTTTTGGGGTACAACAAAAATAGCATCAGGTCCTGACAATCCTGAGACCACTGTGACATCATCCCTCATGGCTTCCTGTCTCCCCCTATTTCACAATTTACATGGGGCTTGTTTTGTCCCGATGGGAAAGTCATTTTCTGGGATGGATGAAGATGGAGTTCATTCTGCATTTTCTAGTTCAAGTAAGAAATCTTGAAATGAGATTCAGACAACTAAAAACAACTTAACAACTAAAAGTGGTGCCTATTATGTATGAGGGAACCTTCTGAGGCACTCTAAATTATTTATGTCTTCATGTGAGTGGTCTTACATGGGTGTATATAATATGCAAAAATTCATTAAGCTGTTCACTTAAAATGCATATACTTTTCAGTATCTGTGTTATAGCTCAATAAAAGGCTTAAAAAATAAAAGAATCTTGAAATGCACACATCCACACTTCTGAGTTTAGCTTCGTCATGTTTCAATGGAGATTTTTACACACACACATATACACATACACACCTACGATAAACCCAGAGACGCTAGGTAGCTAAGGGCTTGCCAACACATAGCCACTGCGCCTACACCTCTCGCGGAAGCTAACTGGCCCAGCAGGCACGTAAGTGCCCACATCATTGATTCTTTCCCCTGGGTTCCTTTTAGTGACAGTGGAAAATATGAAGAGAATGTTTTAGTATCTCTATAAAAACTTGCTGAAACTCCTTAACCCTGAGACCAACAAGCAGAGTCTTTCCTCAGGAAAGCATAAAATGTGTGTGGCTTAGCTGAGTTTTTCCTGAGCTTTGTGAAGTGTGCTGGAAGTCATCCAAGCAGAGCCTGTTTTCCAGCCCTTGACTCGCTTCTCTAACAGGATTCAAGTCAATTCACTGAAGGATTCAAAGAATGACGGCGGGGCGCCCCCCTCACCTCCTCCACACACCATCTATTTCCTGTTTAGGATGTTCACGTCCTCTGAGCTCAGTGGCTCTCATGTTGCTCAGGAGAAAAATAAAAGGGCCAAATTCCAACCGACGGTAGCAGAATATAATGTTTTCTTTCCAATTTCTGAGCCATTTTCTTCTCAGGTGCTCAGTCTCCTTCGTTCATTTAAAATAATTAACTTCACAGAAGCTTGTAGCCAGTATTATTTTTGTTATCACAACTTTTCAGACATTGGGAAAAAAGCTCAAAGCTTGCCTACCCATTAAACTTCATGCAAAGAGACAGAAGAAATATATAAGCCTGGCTTGTAGGATTCACCTAAGTTCAGAAGATGATGAACTGTGGAGCAGGACAATTAGAATGGCCTTTAAGGAGGGCGATAAAATTCCCAAGGTTGTGAGAGGAACAGAGACCCATTCCACAGCTGACAGGGTTTCTAACAGGATGTCCAAACCTCAGGTGGCATAGAACTGGAAGTGGTTTCAAGGCTGGGGGCTGGGAGTGGGTATATCTCTGCCCATAGAGTCATCGATGGTGTTGAAGGGCCTGTGTTCTATATCAGAGCTTCCCAGTTGGCACAGTGGTAAAGAATCCACCTGCCAATGCAGGAGATGCAAGTGACATGGGTTCAATCCCTGGTTCAGGAAGATCCCCTGGAGGAGGAAATGCCAACCCACTCTAGTGTCCTTTCCTGAAAAATTCCAAGGACAGGGGGGAGCCTGGTGGGCTACAGTCCATGGGGACA